CCGATGTGTTTGTACTCATCATACCAATGCATTGGTATATTACCTACCGTGTTGCGTATATCTTCTTCATCAGAGGTATCTGAATTCTCATATTCTGGTAATATTCGTTGAACTATTGGAGGCAATTGCGAAGTTGTTGTAGTGCCAATGGTTGTCTCACTGCTTTCAATTTCTGTGCTATTACTCGTTGATGGATGATTAGCATTTTTAACAGCTTTAGTCTTCTTCTTCTTTTGCTGTTTTTGTTGCTGTTGTTTTTCTTTCTGTTTTAAATTGCTTTTTTCTTTTTTAGACACAGCAACAGGTTCATCATTATCACTATCCGCATCAGCAGCTGATTTTAGATCATTTAAATTATTATCACTTTCATTAGAGTTTTCTTCATTTATTGCTGAACTGTTGTCTTCATCTTCTTCTGTATTATTGTCATCACTGGAAACATCTTCAATGTCTGCCTCATCGATATCATCCTCACTAGAGGATTCTTCTTGCGCCTCTGTTTTGTTTTTTGACATATAATTACCTTCATCATCACTTTCAAATTCTAACTCGTCACTATCATCGGAATTATGGTTTTGTTCGATACCCTCATCATCTGAACTATCTGCATCCATATTTTCAAATTTTTGCAATAAATCCTATAATATTTTATATTTTAATAAATGAAAATAATTTCCTAAATGCAAAAATTAACTTACATCTTCGCTTGCGTTTTCATCTTCTGACTGTATTTGCTCTGTTTTATTTGATTCTTTTAAATTTGTATTATCAGCATTTCCTTTTCTTTTCGCAGCCTTTTTTGCCATAATAACTTTAATTATATATTTATTTATAAATAATTTAACTTTCCGCTAAAATCGCAATGCACGTGTATTCAAACAACAAATGATTGTGATTGCCTTAGTGCTGCCAAGTTTCGGTAGAGATGTGGAGAAAAAGTGTGGTAGAAAGATATTTACTACATATTTTTCTGAGTTCATATATTATAACGGGGGGAGTCTGCTGTGTTTAAAAAGAGGGAAACAAAAAAATAAAATTTTATAGATATTACATATATACACACATATTTGCAATTAATGGTATTGAGCAAAATTGGTTTTAAGTATTTATTTTTTTGTCAAACTTGAGGGATTTTTTTTCATTTCTTAAATACTTTAAATAAAATCAAAAATATTTAAATAAATTGCTATCGACCATATTAGAATGGGAAATCTGTAATTAAGGACGTGTATGAGTTAGGCTAAGTTGATGCTAAACCAAATGGGAGAATTTTTGCACTGCACACATTTAGCCATCTATCGACACGTATCGACATATCACTACATTATCGGCACAACTTAGAATTTCCCTCATTTAGATCGCAACTTAGCCTAACTCGCACACGTCCTAAATAACTGCATTTGTACTTTACATTGTGAGATTAAGAGAACGATATTGAATTAATCTGCATTTTTAATCTCTTCCGTTTACATTGAAGATTAATTTTGATGCTTCTCTTATTGTATTTTGGTGTTTGACAAATTTTTGTAAATAAAGCATTTAATTACAATTTTGTGTGTAATATATTAAAAAAATAGTTTTATTACAATAATTTAACAAATTTTAGTTATAATTATGTATAAAACTATTATTAAACCAATTTTCAATGTTAGTTTTAAATTGATTTTGACATTTCTCCTTAAGATCGAAAAAAAATCTACGATATTAAGACATTTTTCTAAGATCGTAAAAAAATCTACAACATTAAGATATTTGCAGAGTTGCAGAGAAATAATCACCATTTCTAAGTTGATTTAAAATTAATCGCGACCAAAAGGAGATTAACTTTTGTATGCGGAATCTTTACTTTTGCCTTAATCTACTTTTAATCACATAATGTAAACGCCGTATTCGTTTATGACTGTAATCTACTTTTAATCACACAATGTAAACATGGTATAAGTATTTTAAAAAAGCAAATACTTGATTTTAAAGTTATTTGCGATTTTTAAAGTTATGTTAATTGTTGCGGTATCAATTTTCGAAATCTCTTACAAATATATATGGAAAGTGCATTAATTAAATTGTTACAATACTATTGTAATTGTCGATTGCAAGGATCATAATCTTATTAATCTTGTAATGATAAACAATTCGAATAATGAGCATATCGATACATTCTGAAGAGAACTTTTATTATTATTACATTTTTTACATAACTTTTACATAATTTGCATTTAAAAGCATAATTTGATAAATTTTTACGTGAATATATTTACAAAAATAATATTGTTACTTAAAAATTGTTGTATATTAAACGATTTTTTCGTTTTATTATGTATGGACTGTTTAAACATTCCTTGTATTATTTATTCAAATTATACAAATATATTTTATACTCCAAATGAAATAGTGTTCCTCGTTATAAAGTAAATAAAATTATTGCGCTAGGCAACCCTGGTGGAGCAGTCAAGCAGCTGATGTAGTTCGGAATAGTTTTTTAAAAAAATTTTGTAACTGAAAATATCAAATTGTACATGGTAATGTACATAGTAATTAATTTTCAAGTAAAGTAGACATAAAAGTATACGGTTAGTGAAAAATAAAAAATTATTCAAAATGGCTTCCATTGCCAGTGAAGTATAATAGTTTACGGTACCAATTATTAAAGAAAATATTGGTTATTATTTATAACATTATATATAATTTTTCAATATAATACATTAACTATATTCTGTTAATATATATATTAAATGTAAAACAAAAACTTGCGAGTACAAAATCCAGAACAAAATTGTGAATTTAATATAAATTAAAGAATGCCTTTGGCATATCCCTCAATATATAACGGTTTTACGCATAAAATATAGGGAAACCTTAACGCTGCAGCAGCAAAAAATTCAAAATATATGTTTATTTATTGATTTTAAAACCGAACTGTCTGAAACTATGATCTATCTGAAATAATATATCTATGTTTTCAAAGAATTTTATAAAAATCTGGTGGAAAAAATATGTAGTAATTTTAATAAATAAAATAAATAGTTCTCTAAAATAATATTACTAATTTAATGATTTTAATGAAAAATAATTTACTCATGAATTATTAAGTCTTAAGACATTAAAAGCAAAAGTAAATGATTCCACACTCTTCGTCGATAATTAATTATATCGTCATACCATATGAAGAAAATAATAATAATTAGTCCCTTCACAAAGGTAAGTAAAGCAAATGTTTTTTTTGAATATTTATTTTATTTTCGTGATTTTATCTTCTAAAATATATCATATATATATATCATATATATCATATATATATATATAATAATTATTTATAGATCAAATTTAAAATTAATATTTACCCTTCATATAAATGTATTTTTCGATCTTCAAGTTGATTTTTTCTCACACACTTAATCTAAGATATTACACCATGTTTCCACTTCTTTCATTTAGGTAGTTTTGCTAATTAAAGCCGCTAATGAAGATCATTTACCACATAAATAGCCTTCACATAAATAAGGTCATTATAAATAAATTAACCACACAAACAGCCTTCACATAACTAAGCTCATTATAAATAAATTAACTGATTTAAGGCGAAAAATGTTGAATGCAACTCTTAAAAAAAAATTTCCTACAAGGAAAATTACCAAAATTAGAAATATTTGTCATATATTTTATAGGTAAAATGTAAACAATCAAACTATTTCACAAGCATAAATCACCTTATGTCAATCGAAACAAACAAATCTTAATTTAATTAACATAGGTATTTTTAACAATGGAACTAGCTGTCTCACTGTTTGTCTATAAATCTTGACTAGTTTAATAAACTTAATAATTCAGTAAAACGGAGTTTACATTTTCTTTTTATTTATTTACGAATATGTGAATTAAGATACTTGGATGATAGATAGTAGATTGAAGTAGCAGTCCATTTCGAAGAAAAGTTGCAAGTCATTAAAGCTCTAAAAGCAGGTGCATTCACACACCACATAATGGGCAGACTTTTGACGAAAGACGACCCTTTCTTCTGGTTTTCTAATTATTGCAAGGCAAGGACAAAGTAGATGAGTAAAATTTTCTTCTTCTTGAGTCAGTGCCCCGACAGTATTGGAATTGCGTTGTAAAGTGAGTGGTATTAAGATTAATTAGTTGCTTGGTTGTTTTTTGTTTGATTATGGATTTTTGGATTTGTTATATTTCTAATGAATCGACCAATTTTTCCAGTTTTTGTTATATTGGATTGAAGTTAATTATATCCCAGAGAGAACATTATACGTTGCCTTATACAGAGTATTACCTGACATCAATATTTTTCTAATCTTTCTTATAACTTGTGAATTCTTGCTGCAAAGACTTGATATCCTTTCAATGAATCAACATAATTTTTGTAGTTTTTTATATATTGGGCTGAAGTTAATTGTATTTCAGAGAGATAGTTCTACATTGGCCGAAATAGGTGGTAGTTGATAGAGATAAATTCTGAACTATATGCTTTCCATTCATCATCAGTGAAATATTTTTTAGCCAGACAGCAATGTGACGAAAAATTAAGAACTAGCGTCTGATCGGATGTTCCATTTTTTGATTATAGCTTGATTGTTTTTTTAACAAATTGATTGTTGGGTTTATACTATTAGATTTCTGGATCTCAGAATAAATGTTACTCTTTTCATTTCGTTAAATAAAGAGGATTGTCCAGGTGCTCGCTTAATAATCAACTTCGATTATTAAGAAATATATTCAATTATTTATATATTTTTCATGTCAATTAATGTCAAATCAGTTTTCAATGACTATGTCTATAATTAATTAAAACATAATAATGTTTTGTATTTTTTTTTATTTAATTAAAAAACTTAACACATTTTTAATAACAATGAACAATGTTTACAAATATCTTTTTTTTTACATATAAGAATATAATTTACCCACGTAAATATTTATTGAATTATATTTAATAGTGACTTTTGAGTTGACTAATATTAATTTATTTTTTTTTTGATATTATTTACAAAATAATTGATATGGAATCTGTTCAAAAAACGGACCCATACTATAATATTTTTTTTTGTATTTTTAAGTTCAGTTTGCCTATATACATATAATTGTATATGTGTTGATATATCTTTCGCAACTAAACTAGTATACATAAGTAAGGTAAAATGCTAAGGCAGTTAAGGAACAACAATTATTATAGGAACATACTGATCTGTAAATATCTTCATCTGCCCATAATAGTAGGCTCATCTGCCATAGCAATTTCATCAGTTGGTGCCTTACTACCCTTCTTCTTACCAGAATACCAAATGAACATAATACCACAAACGATGTTAACAGCAAATGTAAACCAAGCTAAGTAGACACCAAATCCATAACTAATAATTGGGAGATACATTATAAATGACAGATAAAAGAAAATCAAATGAAATAAAATACTTACGTCAGTTCTGCACCATCCGGATATGAATAGAACAAATGTTCTTTTGTGTAATCTATTGAAGCGAACAGCACTTGTATTACTACAAGAGCTGTCGATGCAGAAACCAAATGTATACCACCAGCAAGTCTCTTAAACATGTAGCGTGGATTCATAAAAGTGTAGAAAGAAAAAACTGAACCCAAAGACATGACGAATACCGTAATACAGGCGAAAGATGCTTGAGTACGTATATAATCTATTGTGAAGTACTTAAGTGAGTTTATATAAATATGAATACAATCTGATATACGAACCTAGTAGTGTATCATCATAAGCAGGTTCATTGCGCAGTGCTTTTGCATTGGAAAACATATCAATATATTTACAACGAGCTAATCAAAAAGAAAAAATTGAATCATATATTATAACTATATATATATATATATATATATATATATATATATATATATTGTAGTTATGTAATTGTATAACATTCAACTTACTACTTGGCACATAATCATAACCATAAGCCAATCGTTGCTTCTTAGGTGGTATTGGTGGTACCAATTGTAATACAACTCCATTCTCATTCAACACGTATGGTGGTATACCTAAATCCCGGAAATATGCCCATAATAAATTAAGTACTTGATCTATTTTATTCCAGTTTTCAAAAATGGCTGCTTGTCCAGATTCCGGTATAACAAAATTATAATTTGTTGAGTTTACAACCACTTCCTGTAAAGCATTTCCGAATGTTTTACGTTCTTTCGCATTTTGTATATCCAAAGGATTTATAGCTATCGGTTTAGCACTGCTCGGATTTAACGCCTTGCGTGATTTTTCTGATGAGAGTTCTAGACTTTGGAAAGCAGCTTTCAAAGTTTGGAATTCGGGTTCATCGTTTCTTATCCAATGTGCGAACATACGTTTCTTAGCTTCTTGTGTAAAATTTTTTAATGGAAATGTTACATTTTCATAGCGAAAATCATCAATAAATTCCATATGTGACATATTCATTTTAGCGTTGTTAACCAAACCAACATTCGTAAAAGCGAAGGATGTGAAATTTCGTATGACAGTCGAATTCGGTAAGGCATTAGGTGTTTTCGTTTCTCGACAGTGACGCCATAAACCGGAATGCGAAGCCATAAAGAAGCGACGAGTTTCAGGAATAAAAATACCTACAAAATTAAAAATTATGAAAAAATGTATAAAATGTAAAAAAGTGTGAAAAAAATTATCTTTAAGGCAGCTAATAGATAATTCTTTAACGACAATTATCTACAATATAATTATCTACAATAAAAATCTAGTTAATATATTAACTTATAAAATGTTAATTATTGTAGTTATGCAATATTTTTAATAGTTAGTTCTAATAGTTAGTGATTTATCACTAAACTGAGTCGAAAAATTTTGTATATATCACGTTCTGGAAGACTGATTTAAGCTGATAAACTCACAATTAAGGCATTACAAATCGTTAGATAATCATGCTGAGATAGTAAATTTATCATATTTCAAACTTCGTAATCAGTTCGTAATAAGTGATTTGTGAGTAAGTAAATCCCTTCGTAATAATAAAATACATAGATTTCATTTTAAGTTTTGAACCCATAATTGTCCATCGCATTGACATGTATGATTTGCTTTTCAAACTTAAAGAAATATTTCGTTTTGGAGACGAAGCATCATCAATGAAAATAAGAAATTAATTGTTTAAAACAAGGTTAAATACAAAAAGTCACGGTGTAAAAGACGATACTCTCGTTAGACGATACTCTTAAAAAAGAAGAAAGTGCTATTCGGTTAGATTTTAAAGGAATCGTTTTATTTTGGCCTTCTACTAAACACCAAAGGGATAAATTTTGATTTGTACTATCACGAGCTAGACAAATTGAATGATTCGCTTGAACAGAAAACGCTAGAATTAACTCGATACAAGCTTTGATAGCTTAGCTGGAATATTCTACCATATTCTCCAGATCTATTATCTTCGGATAATAATTTATTCTAGTCTCTATAAAATTTTTTAGACTCTCCCTAAGCATTAATAGCTTGCGTGAATTATTTTACCACATCTACTTTATTCTCCAGACCTAGTATCTTCTATTTATAATTTGTTCTAATCTCTATAAAATTTTTTAGACGGTAAGACATTTTCTTCAAATAAGAAGGTCAAAAAAGACTACCGAAAAACAAAAATTTTATAAGTATGATCTAGTTACTGCTATAAAAAACGTTAAAGATATTGCACCAGAATGGACAATATATAGTTCAATAAAATAATTATATATTATAGAGAAATTGTATTAAAATAAACAATTTCACGACATTACTTTCCGAATAACCTTACATATTCAAATCCGATCTTAACTTTATCTTCTGAATGCTTATTTATATCTAAAGATTACAGAAATTTAAAAACTGTACTGGTATAACACTATTTTTTTGTAGAGATTCGGTAATTATATTAAAATAAAAAAATAATAAAAACTAATAAATAATAAATAAATAATAAAATAAAACAGAATAATAGAAGATAAACATGGTAGAATTATTATTTTTGTAAATAGATTTTAAATCTACAACTTTTAGATAAATACGACAAGTGAGTTCTAATAACGTGCAGGTTTCTATTGTATGAATGTGATGTAGATATAACTTTAGGTAAATTTTGCGATATTAATAAATATGAATCAAAATATAGAGAATTGAACAATGGCCAATATATTTGTATACAGAATCTTAAATTCTCCAAGCACAAATAATAAGAATTTTGTATTTGTACATTTATTATGAGCACGCAAATTTACTGGAACATAATCGGGGACGTTGAAAACCAATTCCGGTCACATTCCGGTCACAGTTCCTCTTGTGGGTAAAAGAAAGTCGAACTAAAACCACCCTGAAGCATTTATAAAGGCGAGAGTGTGGCCAATGCTAATACTGCAGATATCGCTAAGTGTGTTAAAGAAGGAGGCCCACAAAAACTCAAGCTTCGTTCTGGCCAATCCTGTACATAAACACAAAAGGTGTTCTAGTGTCCTTTCTTCGAGAGTTGGTAGACATGCGTTGCAGAAGATACCACAGTGATTGAAATAGGGGTATTCGTAGAGGCGTCCATTCTATCTCAAGCTCAAACTAAAAGTGCCTTGAACTGCTCATTTAGTGAGTTAATAAATTTTCTACATTATTTCAGATTAGTTATGGATGAAATGTAGGCCACTGATAAAGATTTAATAGCTGTCAGTAAGAATATAGACTTCCTTTCCGTGAAAGTGCATTTTCAAAGTAAGACCACATGCTCTAAGGATGGCGAAGATTTCTGCCTGAAATATTGAGGTTGAATCGGAGAGATGGTAGGATTTATTAATCCTTAGGTCTGTGGAAAAGATTTCGGCTCCAATGCTTTAATCTTATATTTTATAAGATATTTTTGTTCTAAGGTTAAATGGAACACATATTAACTAATAAATATTTTATATACATAAAATAACTTTATAATAATCAAAATATGAGAGAACTTAACAAAAAGAAGATAATACACTATTTTATTTATATATCTTCAATACATTGTATTTATTTTCTGTTTGCTTAAAAATATAAATTACCTCCTCCACCGGTTATGATGATCCAACGATCGGTGGCAATGGCAATTATCCAGATAATCAGAGATAATGCCATTAGCACGCTACAGCCTAACAGTACACGTCGCTGGAACATGTAGGCTGCCATCAGTGGTTTTCTGGCTTCATCGTGTCCAAGCGTTGACGTTGAAGCATCACGCTTCACACTCTTCACACTCATTTTTTTCATTTTTAATTTTTATCGCCTGCACAAATCGCTTTCGCGGGGACAACTAAAATTTCAGAGTTATCGTCCATACGTTTTTCACAAAGCCACACGGGGAATTTCCGTAGCTAAAAATACTGAAATTGTCATAATAAAAATTAAAATTCTTGCCTTTAATAAAATCTTTTTATTATAGTTTAGAATTTTCGCTTTTATTTCAATTTTAATGCACTTATCATTTATATTTCGGAAATTCATTTAGAAATTATTACGTTTTTCAAAAATAATATTTTGACACACTTTATCTCAAAGTGAATTTACATTTCTTTGTAACATTATTGCTTTATTAAATTATTTTTAAGATTATTTCTTTGTTGAAAATAAAATTATGTGAAAAAAAAAATTTTAATTCTAAATAAACACTCAATAAATTTTATTTTATTTATATAATTTATTAATATTGTAACTATTTAACAAAAATTGGATTAATTTTTGTAATTTTCTAATTTAATACAAATTTTATTTTTAGACCTATAAGCTGAAAATTAAGTATTTATTGTATATCATTTACACTTAATGAATTTCATTATGTGTAAATTATGCACAAATATTTATTTATATATTTTTGTCTAAATTTATTTTTTTTTATATTAATTTTATTAATTTTTGTTCTTGAATTAATTTTGTTTTTTTTTAGCTATTAATTGGAAGGATTTTGAACTTGTTTTTTGTGATTAAACATGATTTATTATTGTTAATTATTATAATTTATATATTTGTATTTAATATATATTTTTGTTTAAAAACAAAAAGGTTTTTCATTGCTTTGTTTTTGTTGCTAATATTTTTTTTTTTACAAAAATATAAATCATTTATTAATTTCTTTTCATTATACTCCTAATAAGTTTGCGGTTTGGGTTAAGAAAAACAAAGAAAAATGTATGAAGCAATTTGTTAATGACAAAAATATGTTTATAGAGTAAATAAATAATCATTTGTCAACAATTTGATTTCCAGAAAAATGGCTAATTTTCAGTTAAATAAAAACAAAGAAAATTTTCCGTATAATTTAAAATTAATGTGCACACATTTTTTTGAGTCTTATTAACTGCAAATATATGGAAAAATTTTCGTCTATAATGTATTTTTTGTTTTTGTATTTATTGTACATTTCTCATATATAATATGTCTGTTTACTTTTATGAACTATAGAACTCACAGTTCTTCTTATATATTGACATTTTTGACATATATTTGTTATTTCTTTCATGGTCGATCTTATATGTGATTTACGAGACTTGACAGTCTGAAACTCACAGAAGAATTCACAATTGGGAAATATCTTAAAAGCATTTTACTTTAGATTTTGAAATAATATTGAAAATGTGTAGCGCATTTTGAATATATAAATATGTTTATTTATTTAGATATATAAACATTCTTTTTGTTTAAGAATTTTTATTTTTGTGTTATGGTTTTGTTAATGTCACAGTTAGTTTATTTGATATATGTTTGCTAGCTACAATTGAGAAAAGGTACATTAGTTCCATTTAAAGTTGTAGATTACACCTTTTCATTGAAGCGAATAGTATACTGAATATTATTATTATTATTAGCATTAGTATTATTATTAAAAGAATAGATCGTGCACTGCGATCTAAAAGTTCTATTGTGCCCCTTAGTCGGATTAGAGTGTATCTCCAAGTCCGATTTCTTTAATGAAAGACAGTATAGAGCCTATCTTTCCTAGTCTTGAATCCTTATGATCCATGAAATACCCTCCTAGATGTTTTTTCCGCTTGTGCATCAGTGTTCTTGTTATAATATTTTTTTTTAATATTTATATCGTATAATTGAATTTAATAGTAATAAAATTTATTTATTATTTTTGATAAATAATTAATAGATCAATCCACAGCTCCGGCAGACGGCTAAAACGTTTCAAAATTCTTTCTAATACAATAAACTTATAATGAAATAAACTGAAGCTAAAATAGTACTACTATTCAATAATTTCGCGAAGCATCATCTACTCATTAATATTAGAACTTAAATTTAGACACCATTTTAATACTTCTTTCATAAGATTGAAAAAATTTTATTTTGATCTGTCAACACATTCTTTGTTTGCTTTCATTTTAAAATTGACGTTTCATTCCATTTTTTAACAATGGAAAATTTTGAACAACGTACAGTAACAAACCTCTTAGTTAAAAGTTCAAAGAAGTTCATTGAAGTTCATACCAAAAAGGTAAATTGGTGAATCAATCTGATATATAAGTACATTGGTTTAGTTAAAAATGCCGTACCTATTAAAAGTAACCTAAAATATTCTCAAGTATCCTTAGTATCCTAAATATTTTAAAGAAAAACAATCAGTTTTCCGTTTCATCACAACGTACTTGATGAAAATGGATCCAAAAACATGCCAATTTTATTGCAACGACCCGAACCGTGACTGAGTGATACCTCAGCAAAATTAAACGACGAATCCGTGTCGTTACAATTGGCACCCGAACAGGGACTAGTGTTCGAGAGTAGTCCAAGTAGAAAGAAAAAGAATTACTATGGACCTGATTAGACAAATCACAGTGGTCAATGCTAGAATGAAAAATCAAGACCCAGAGGATAAAATTTTAACGATTATCGCAACAAGGAACAATGTCGGTGGGATCAAAAGGAATCATATGTAAGTTCAATAAATCCTCCAGTGCTTTGCTACCTTCAGATGGTTGAAGAGATACAGAAGTAGTCCTGTAAATATGATGGTGGTAAGGATCCATTGGGTTTTATTGATCACATAGAGGAACTGGCAGAGATGTGCTGTAACGATGTAAATCTAATTCTCAACATGATGCCTATACTTTTTAAAAACAAAGCATCAAAATGGTACGGAAACAATCATAAACCTTGGCTCCTCTGGTCAAGCTTCAAGAGTTATGAGTGTTTTTTAATTAATTTGCAAATAACTTTAAGGTTCCATTTCGAATATACTGGAGAGCGGAGGAGTACAATAAATTTTTTAAATAATATCCTTTTACTCTTCCATTTACTCTATTCAAAAGTAGTGGTTTGAAAATCTTTAGACATACAATATATGGATTTGTGAAATTTTTTTGAGGACATTCGTAAAATGTTGACAAAAAGAGATCCTTTCGAGTTTGGGATTGGGTAGTTACACAAGATTTGAAGACAATCCATATGAAAATCATATATAAACTAAGATAACACAAGAGGTTGTCATAAAAATTTGATATAGGGTTTTGGAAGTGCTTCAATTGATTGAGAGAATTTTTATAAAACAAAAAATTCTGGATATTTTATTAGCATAATTTATATCAAGTTTGGGTTTCTAAAATCTCTATTTATTGCAATAGTTACTGCGAATAATATCGCTAATAATGCAAAAAAAAAAGATTTGAATGCCACATTATCAAGAACATCTGATGAGATTAGAAAAGAATAAACAGGATTTTATGAGCCGTTTCATTAGAGTGGATGAGGCTTCGATCACCCGCAGACATCTTAATTCAAATAGAACATAGAAGTGGTGTAAACCCGACTCTTCGGCTACAAGGGGATTTCGTGTCCAAAAATCAGTCATTAAAATTATATTTTGGAATGCCGGTATATCCTTAAAATATGAAATCTTTATTAATTTTATAACTAAAAATATATTTTTTTAAATTTCGTTCCACACAACGATTGAATAACCTAGTAGCTATTCGAAAAATGCATATTGTGTAGCCAAAAGTAAATGACGGCAAATACTTAAATAGGTGCTATTATAGTTCTTAAAAAACTAAAATTTTCCAAATATTATATGTAGATATATTTTAATCTAAATTTATTTGTTTTTGTCGTATATTCTCAAAACATGTAGCGCACCAACTAATTATGTATATTTCCGTAGGCTGAATAGTTCAGCCGTGTGTTCATTTAACATATTTTATTGGTTTAATATAAGCGCCAATATATCAAAACTGAAAAATTTCTCTAAATCCACGTGTATTCATCCATAACTTATAGTAGTAGTGGATTTTCTAATGTGCAGAGTACACACGAACTTGCGAAACAGATTTATGGCAGTATCGGATATGTTTCAATAGCGCATGGCTCTGATATATGTATGGTAAAAAAATTTTATGTATGGCAAATTTGTTAGATTTTGTGATTCAAAATTTAGAATCGTCTTCGGTTCGCGTATAATATAAATATTTAAAATTTATTGACAGGATTTTTTAATATTGCTTTAAGTTTAAAAAAATATTTAATCCTAAATTAATAGTCTATTTTTCATTGTCCATATAACATTTATCATAAAAATGTTTAAGTGAAATTTAAATATTTTGATTTTTTTATGTGATTAACACAACATTTAAAAACATATTTATGTGCTTATTGAATCATTTGTGGTGTTCATTATGTGTGTAGAATGTCTACATGTTGTAAAAATGTTATGTGACAGCCCACAACTATTGTAAATCTTAAAATTATTTTTGTGTTTCCCCCAATTAAGTTTTGACAGCACTCTCCCCCAAAAGGTTTCGGCATCACATCTCTTAAATCAGTTAAATAAAATTAATATATTTTAAGTTTTCAAAGAGCACGTGAAAATATAACTGCAGATAACTTTGTTGATCCATTGTGTATAGAAAGAAACTTTTGAAGAATCCTCTTTATAATCTCTGAAAGATTTTTTTACTGAAGTAGCGATAAGTTTACTTTTATATGTGGTTTGTAAAAGTCTTTATTTTAGTAAAGAAATTTTGAAGTTATCAAGAAAACATGACTGGTATCCATACCATTCAGAAGCGACGATATTTTATATAATATACACTGTTAAATTCTCCCTAATATGGCTTATAATTTAGATTTTCTATCGACTTCAGATAATACAAGCAGTTATGTTGAGTATCTTCAAGATATAACCGTATATCAGAAATTTGATAAATCTGATTAGTATCTGCATCAGTACGTCGAATTTATATTAACAGATATTGGATTAACTAGAGACTTAAAGCGAAAAAATTATTTTGTTTTTATTTTTACTTAATATGCTTACAGCAGTTACCATTGAACACAGAGCATGATTTTAATTCCCCTGCAATATGTATTTCGCAAGGAATTTTAGTAAATTCTTGAGAATTACCAATAAAAAATAGAAACGTCATATGTCACTGTTAGCCGCTGTTTGCGTAATCTATATAAAAAATTGCATACACTATATAATTGCATATGGTCTATATAATATGTTAACAATTCTAAACGTCGATATCTTAAGAGGTAAACTATATCAACACATATCGTATTGGAAAAAGTTGCTCGAAATAGCTGTATCTACCAAAATCCGTTGTCAAATTGGCGGGCCTAAAAAATCGGAATGCTCCACTTATTTGTTTGTAACTCTGGGATTAATGTAACCATCGTTTGTGTAATAATATGAAAATGATATATACTACTCCACACCTGATGACATGTGTAGTTTTTATTAATGTAATCAATACAAAAAGTAAACTATATTGAAATAGCTAACTTTACCAAAATCCGTTGTCAAATTTGAGTGTATGGGAGCTAAATACTGTCTTAGTAAACCCGCACATGTCTTAATTAACATCTATCAAGTACAATTTAACAATAGTTATAAATTAACACATAGTTAGGATTGTACCATTCATATCCAACAAAAGACATTTACAAAAAAAAATGATTCGTGTGCTCAGAAATACGGAATGTGATATAATTCTAAAACTGGCGCAATCGTCATCTTTTCAGTTAGTGACAGTTGTTATACGAAAGATTGATCTTGTATGATCGTATTGCTTTGCAACACTGGAAGCTAATATTTCTATCGTCTATCAATTTAATATATATGCAACGATTAACTAAAACCTTAAATGTATAATAAATTTAATTCTCTACCTAATACAGCCAACTCTATATATTTGAAAACCACTTTTATATATAACACTGTATTACTACCATCTTTTTCTTTATTAGTGGGTTAAACTTTTGTTGAGAGAAGTGGGTTGATAAATTATTGAGTTAAGAAAACTAATATAATTAAAATAATGTCTTGCTATTTTACTCATTTATATTGCGAATGCATTCTAATAGGAAATATGCATTATATTGTATATAAATGTAATCAGCTGTATAATCCAATTTATATGCAAGTTATATTCAAGCGTTGCAATATATTTTTATAAAAAAAATATTTATATATCTTATATATATGAATATGTATTTAATAATTGCAATTATTTTGTATATTATGAGGAAGACTGTTCCTATTAGCTATTTATTTTTAATTAGTATTTTGTACATAAAAAAAAAATTATAATAAAAGTTGGAAATACTAAACTAAACCTTTAACATTATTATTTCACAAAGAAATACGTGTAAGCAATTTTAATAATTTATATGCTCAGATAATCATATAAAATTTTCTGCATTCATTGCAATTTTTATAGATAATAAAATTTAAATTTACTGCATTGAAGTGTTGAATGTTTTGTAAACTAAGAAAATGTATATAATTCTAAAGAAAATCTGTGCGGATGATTTTATAGAAAATAATTATTTTTTAAAAATTTTTGAATTAATAACAAAGATAATGGTTCAACGTTATGATTATATTCCCTTAACTCTTACTAGAGCATGTGGCTGGAGTGTAATTTAATTTCATTAAAATAAAGATATTTTTATTAACGTATTTAATAATGTGTTATATACTATTATTTTTATATTTCACTATAATTTCTATTTTATTTATTTATTAAGTTAATTTATTAAGTTGATTATAGTGACATATAAAAATAATAGTATATAACACATTATTAAATAAGTTAATAAATATGTCTTTATATTTATTAACGTATTTAATAATATGTTATATACTATTATTTTTATATTTCACTGTAATTTCTTTTCTATTTAATTATTAAGTTAATAAAGACATATTTATTAACTTTAATAATGTGTTATATAGTATTATTTTTATATTTCACTATAATTTTTTTTTATTTACCTATTAAGTTTATAAAGATATATTTATTAACTTATTAACTAATATATTAGATATTATTATTTTCATATTTTATTTTAATTTCTTTTTTATTTATTTATTTATTCCAGATATTTAATACTTATTTTTTATTAACGATATTCACTGTCTACTAAATTAATAATATCGATCCATCATAAAAGTTTTGAAAACTTTTTATTACTTTTTTGAAATATTTTTATTTTATTTATATATTTTAGAGCAAAATAATGATCCACAATTAGAAGAACTAACAGGCACTATAAATAATAAATTTGACATAAAATCGTAAATTATATAAATAAATCATTTTTGGTATTTATTCGTATATATTTTGTACATAAATTCTGCAGTTGCAGTTAATCAGTATATGTTAGAACTGTATATATATATATATGTTGAACATTTCTATATATTATGTATTTAAACATTTCTATGTATTATATATTTAAGCATTTTTATATATTATATTTAATAATATATATAAAAAAATTGTCAAAATATTTTTTCCTTACATTGATTTTAATATGCAAAGTAAAAATTATTAAAATATTTTGTATATAACGTTGAGTATTTCTTATTATTTTCACTTTTTTTATGACATTAGGTATTATCTATAAACATTTAGTGTAAAATATTATTATAATACATTTTCACATTCGAAGTCGTACCGAAAAATTCTTTAGGTTTGCTTAAAATAGTGTCAAGCAAAATTTAAATAAATAAAGAAATAACTTATTGTTTAATTTTTAAATTTCACTGCACGGCACACACGCACACACACATACACTTAGCCGACGTTAGGTGCTATACATATTCCGCCAGATTGCTTCTTAGACCAAGTCAATCAGTCACTTACTCGGTGCGCGACCAATTTAAACTGAAAGGTTGCTATCAACAACATAGCCATCAAGCAAATGTTGAGCATGGCATCCTCCCATCAGGGTCCGGTACTGTAGTATGAAAATCTAAATTGAAACGAAGAGATATCAGCACCATATGATTAGTCTCTTTCACTATAGTTTAAAAGAAATCTTGAAGAAATTCTTTGTTTTGATTCTCTCGGGAAGCGCTATATAAACAAAAGAAAAAAATTTAAAAAGAATAAAGGCGGGTATCTGCAGCCACTGTACATTTACAAAATGTTAAAAAAAACCTATTTTTTGATATATGTTTGTTTGTTGATATCAATGTAGAGAAGTATAATTAAGTAAATATTATTGTAAGGCACAACAACAAAATAGCATATTTAAAGGGACGGATTCTCAGTAGTTCACTTCATTCACAAGTGCGATGATTTTTAATGTTCAGTTGGAAAGTCGAGCAATTTTGTTCTGCAGCAGCAGGCAGGTTAAGTTTTTTTCTTCGGACGACTTTATTTTCTTATTTTACTTAGCAAAAAGTTTGTTTATTTGATGCGTGAAAATATTTATTATTTAGCCAAGTATTCCCTCTTTGTGCTTAATTACTAGATTTTAATGATTAAATGTTCTATGGGCGATGTAGTCGGTATGTGTACAGTCCGACGTCATTGTTTCATATATTTGCTTTTTCTAAAATTTTTGTGTTAGATATTTTAAAACAATGAACTAATTATTAATTAGTGTTAACAATTTGCACTTGAATGCCAATCTGAATTCTTAATAATAAATCTTAAATAGATAGTATCAGGAAATAGTCATATTTAATATTCTGTCTAATCTGTAACTTTAAGTGAAAATGTGGGTATTTTTATATAACAGGAAACAAACATTTTTATAATATGTTACAATATAAATAAAATCTGACTGACATCTATGTTGTATAGACAGTCATATGACGAACGGTCATTAAAATTTCACGCTCTTATGTCGTATCATAAATAGTCATATCACAATTAACAATTAACAATGTGATATTTTTTGTTGTGCCGAAATTTAAAACATAATTTAAAAGTTAGACGGATTCGAATAGCAAAGAAAGGACAAAGACAAAAATTTTTTATTTTTAATTTATTGAAATTTGGCTGACCATACAACGCTGTTTCGAGTATTGCCAAGTACTCTTCATCAGTGGTCTTTGCAAATAATCGAATTTTATTTAATTAGTTTATAGTTCGTATATAATTTATTCGGACTGCAAGTGCCAGGCTTGGAACTCGTGCCTGTTAAATTAGAAGCGATGACTAATCGTGTTTATCCACAAATAGCCAAGGCTGCACAAACTTTCAATGCTCAAATTCCAGGTTTTGTCACTTATTATTATTTAATTAGTGACACCAACCAAAGCACTTGCCGGGCTTTAAATTAGATCGAGCGTTTAAACTAGAGCTTTATTTGGAAACACAAGTTCAACGAATTGAAAGTTAATCTTTGAGTTTGCCTATTTTTGTTTCAAAGCTATTCTTTTGAAAAGTCTTTCATCTAAGTTAAGGACACTTAAAAGCATATAACTAACACGTTCTTTGCTGAAAACGATGTTAATATATATAAATAAAAAATTTTTTGTATTTAAAAAAACAGATGGCAGTTGAGTTTGGGATGTGAACTCGATTTAGAGCCAAAGAATCGGACTCACACCACTCTTTAGCCACTCTCTCTCTTTAACCACTCTTTTTATATAGGTCTAGCACCATTAACCTTAAACACAATAAAAGACTAAAGAGTGGTGTGAGACTGATTCTTTGGCTCTAAAGCCGAGTTCACATTCACAAATCAACTGTCATCTGTTTTTTGGGATACATTGTGACCGAAAAGTTTCCGGAAATTTTAAATAAAACGCAAAATTCTTAATCTTCATCAATATTTATTTTATCTCCTTCAAAATATGCTCCATTAGAAGCGATACACAAATGCCAACGTTTCTTCCAATCATCAAAAAATTTTTTATAGGCGATTTCCGGTATGGCTTTGAGTTCCCTCTGCGAATTCTGTTTTACGTCTTCTATGGATTCAAAACGCGTTCCTCTGAGTGGTAATTTGAGGTTGGGAAACAGGAAAAAGTCACACGGTGCAAGATCAGGTGAATACGGTGGCTGTTCGATGGTATTTATTGAATGTTTGGCCTTAAAATCGTTGATAATGTTGAACAAATTGAGGTGAATCGGAACAAGCCGGGCGTTGACACGTCGCATACACAAATTGTCCACCAAAATCAAACGAGCCATCTCACGACCGATGCCTAGCTCTCGTGCTATCTCTCTAACACTCACATGAGGATTTTTGAACACGATTTCCTTTGCCTTTTCAATGTTTTCGTCGGTGGTAGAGGTCGAAGGTCGTCCAGAACGCGGCATGTCTTCGACGGTCGTACGACAGTCCTGAAAGGCTTTGTACCACTCATAAACTTGAGTTTTCGATAAAACTGATTCCCCATAAGCCTTTTGTAGCATTCGCAACGATTCTGCACACGAAATTTCGTTCGAAAAACAAAATTTGATGCAAACTCTTTGTTCAATATTTTTTTCCATTGTTTTTTTCGCAACGCACTACTGAGGTGAACTGGTTTCAACAGCTGCCGTAAACGAACTGTCTGACAGATCGCGCTCATTTTTGGCATAGTAATTAAGGACAGTGCTGCCAAACTACATAAACTTAAAATATCGAAAAATATACAGCGCGCGAATTTTAAATGAGAATTTCCGAAAACTTTTCGGTCACAATGTACAAAAGAAATTTTCTAAATGTATCACCCACAGACTGACAAAACAATAACCTCAGATTATTATTGCAACTTTTTAAATGAAATGAATGCACAAATTAGTGAAGAAAGATATATTTTACAAAAAAATATATAACATTTTAAAAAATTACACTGGGATCAGTGAATGAAAACACGATTTGCTAGTTTGCAAAAACTAGTTGATTTACTATATTTAATTTCTTCTCAGTTTGGGCTCTTCTGGCATCTCAAAATTTTTTTCATGAAGTATGGTTTTCAATAAACGGAGAGCTAACAGTGGCTGTATGCGTGTATTTCTCAGGCCTTCGGAAAACCACTGCGGTATTTAACAATTGGACAACTATTGGATGAAGTTTATTGACGCTAATGCATATTTTGCTGAATAATGAATTCAATTTGACAACTAGAAACTAATCTTTTATTTTAATGTCAAATAAAATTAAAAGTTTATGTGAGTTAAGACTTGAGATTCTCAAAAAAAATTTTATTTCAGTTAAAAACTTGCGAGTATATAGGAAAATCATTAGAATATATTAGAAAAATCAAATTTTCTTTGACAACATATGACACAATGCATCTTTAATCCCACACAAATTTATTAAATTTTTGGATCAAAGCTTCATCTACTAAATTTATGGTATCTTATAATGATGCATCGTTTGTATTATGTATATATGTGTGTGTTTTTAATTTAAATTCTATACAATAGATAAATCCATAGCTATATAAATTTTAATTTACCTTTGTGTAGTTAGTTAATATATTTAGAGAAGTATATATTGGATTTGTTTTTGGCGCTGCTATAAACTCTTGCGATCGTTAAAATTACAGAAAGTAAACAATATTTTATGGTTGTAAAAACATGCATACGCCCACACTTTACAGTAGTTCTACACTAAACCATACTAAATATATATAAATATACATATATATAACTGGCATATATATAGAGTGTGATTTATTTATGATATAGAGCAGGTGCTAAGTTTTATATATTTTTAATAGTTCGAATAAAACTTTTCATTTTTAGTGTGCCATAAAAAATCATCAGGTACGCACGTACCATGGCGTGTTAAACTTTGGGGACTCTAATTTTAGGTGTTTTGTTAATTTAAATATTGTGTTTAGAAGTTCATTAAACGATGACAACTTTTTGAGCATAAAAACTTAAATATAGAATGAATGTGTCTGTCGTCGATCATATTAGTTGGAAAGATCGTACGGCACAAAGCAATTTTATCACTTGCGTAGGTGTAAAAAAATGTTAATGTTTTCAAAATTTTGTTATTGGGAAATTTTTATTATGATTTTCAAAAACAAAAAAAAAACCACAGAAAAAAATAAGATATCTTATAATAATACTCGAATTTTATTAATTAAATAATTTCACCACAGGGTAAGATACACACACTTTTCGCACATCTTCTTTCATTTGCAAATTAAATTTTAATGAAACTGCAAATGCTCATCTATGAAAACGTCAAAATTGCAAACCACTTGTTAAGACTGAAGAGTGCCAATGGCAGGCTATCCCAAGTGTAGTGCTGCGCCATAAATTTTTGGCAATCGTAATTATTTTAGGTATTGTCAAACCAAACACATAAGCGTAGATAGGTATGTGTTGATATGGACTCAGAAGCACATCTCCTGTTTGCGAACTACAAATATAACATTTTATTCGTGGAAGTCACATTTATAGGTGGATCGTGCCTCTAAATATAGGATTACAAAAAAAAAAAGAGAATAAAATAATAATTAAAATAAAATATGTGAAGAAACTGTCATTTTAACGAATTAAATTTAGGTGAAATTTTGTTTTACTCAGTTCCGTAATATATAATACTAAGTTTTATATATTTTCATATATGCGACCTCTTTCACTTGCATCTTAATCCCCCAAAATTTAGCACTGGCTACTACAATGAGCAAACAATTTTTCAATCGATCTGCTATGAACATAATAGATTTTATTGCTTATTAGTTTACATTTAGCAGTCTCGTATAAAATGTTTATTAGTGAAATTAATTGTTCATGAAAATATTCTTCTTAATTACTAAATTGTTCTGTTATAATTTGTGTTGTGAATCTTACATATATAATAATTTTCAAGAAATGCAATTTTAATTTAATTCCCGCATTTTGTAGTGTATACAATTATCAACAATTATCTTTTAATTGCAATTGTTATGTAAATATTTTTGGAGGAACGCTATAACTCGATGATTCCTCAATCAAAGTATAGATATACGTAAAAAATGTATGTATTTTGTTT